CCCACACATGGACCCACTGCTGCACCATCCTTGCCGCCGTGATTTATGGATGTACACGCATGCTTGGAAGATCTTTGACCGAAGAGAGCCAGTTGTGGGGACAAAAACAAAAAAAAACAAATTAGTCTAGTCTAACCCACTGCCACGTAATAATAAGGGTTAGACTAGGAGTGCGCTGGTTCCGGTTGAATGGCACTCATTGGCCGCCCGTGGACTGCCCACGGGTGTCCCATGGGCGGATTAGCAAAACTATGGAAAGTGTGGGAAACCCTGCGAGCGGCAGAACATGTACACACATGTTTTACGTATTTTTTATTTTCCTGACAGAGGAAGCACAAAGTTTTACCAAGCCGCCACCATCGCCATGCCAACTACTTGTTTAGTGATGAGGATGCAAACAGAGGTATTTTACGCCGATGATGCATCTGTGTTTCGAAAGTTCTTAACTGTAGTCCCCGAGCTTTCGAGGATGAGACGCCACCGCCATTGTTGCCGTTGTTGTTGAGTGCCTCACAATAGCTAATGATAAAATAGCGTCCGGAAGGAACATACACGACAGTGGATACTACGGTACATGACACTCGGAAAAACATTAAACTTACATGGTGGAAGGCAAGTGTCGGCGTGAGTGAGCACTTATGGGCATTTCTCCTGTTGTTGCTGTTCTTGCTGCAGGAGGCCATCATGCCCGAGGGCTCAATCACCCATCTCCAATGGACCCCAGACTTCCCGGTTGCGATCAACAAGAAGGTGCTGGCGGTGGATGGGAGGCCTCGAAGCGATGGCGCTGGGCTCGGCAGCATTCTTAACCACTACTCGTTGATGCAGTGGAATGGCCTCTTCCCGTGCCTGCCGGAACTTATCACCGTGGGTGACCTCCAGGACAGGTATATCGCAGCCTTCCAGGTGAGCATCTACATGTAGATGGATCGCATGTTTTGTTTGTTTTCCTTCAACTTGGTGTGGATTTGAGATGAGCTGATGTGAGGAAAAAACAAAACAACAAACTCTACCGCACTCCAGAGCACGATAGATTAGGCGCACAAAAGGTGCATACGGGTACTGAAGAGGCACAACTGGTCGGGTGCCCATACATCCGTTCGTGTTTGCGACCGCAAACAAACGAACTTCGAAGACAACACACTTCACTAGACTATGAAAGGTAAACTACGCGGGGTGCAGCAAGCACGTTCTGGACGTTGCTTTGGGGCACTGGGTAGTCGGCCGTGTTAGGCCGAGAGAGAGAGGTTGAGAGAGAGATGGAGAGAGAGTAGGAGAAGGAAACTTGATTGGAGAGAGACGGTGTTGGTGGTGGAGAGAGAGGGAAGAAGAAGAAGAAGAAGAGGAAGAAGTGCGCAGGACGCACGCAAGCCTTCCTCATCATCGCACCGACCACGCCCAAAGGGTCCCCGTGACTACGCCGGTGGTACCCTTCACACGAAATTCCCAACACGTGTCCCCCTGGGATCCTCACGACCAGATAATGCTGCGAGTATATAACATCCCCCCTGCTCGCAACAGCTTCTCCATGAAAACTTCGCTAACACCCGATATCTCAACCGAAAGACGTCCCCAGAATATATACCATGAAGACTTGACCAGAATAATAAAGAGAGAAAAACAATTCAAAGAAATATGAATGCTGCATCGTGCTTCATAAATACTTGGCGCGGGAAATGAAACAAAACGGGAAACAGAACAAAATCAAAACACAACCTATCAGAAAAACAATGAAATGTTCATGCCAAATTCATCACAAATTCACGGTGAGATTCGAAAGAATCCTTCGACAAACTCTTCGTAAGAAAGTCTGCACGCTGGTACGGCGACGGCACGTGGATGACCGAAATTTCCTTCCTCTCTACCAGTTCCCTGAGAAAATGGTGCCTTACATCTATGTGCTTCGAGTTCGAGTTTGAGATGGGGTTCTGCGCTAGTTGAATCGCCCCCTGGTTGTCCTCGAAGATGGGGATGCACGGCATGCCGACCTGCGGCAACATGAAACGCCAAATCTGCCTCAAAAATATAATCTCCTTCACTACGTCACCTAGGGCGACGTACTCTGCTTCTGTGGTCGAAAGCGTGACACACTTCTGCGTTCTGGAAAACCAAGACACAGAGCCTCCTCCACACGTCACGATCCCCCCTGATACCGACCTACGGTTTGCTGCCTTGCTTGCAAAGTCCGCATCAGCGTACCCTGCAAGCTTTATCCCTCCACCGTACCTCTCTGAAACGAAATACCAAAGTGACTCGTCCTCCTCGCATAGCCTAAAATATCCATCGCTGCATTCCAGTGTACCAGCTTCGGAGATGCGCAGTACCTAGCTACTGCCCTTACTGCATTCGCAATGTCTGGCCTAGTCTATGTCGCCAGCCACATTAACGATCCTACCAGCTCACGAAACGGAAAGTCTGTCGCCACCTCATCCGCATCAAAATCAGCAAGCTTCACCCCCGAAGACAT